CTGAGATCAAGCCGCTGCACTCCAGCCTGGGTGACAAGGGCAAAACTCTGTCTCAAAAAAAAAAAAATCCCAAATCCCCTCCCATTTTCCCAGGCTGCCTGCACACATTACACCTTTCTATGTGACCCAGGAAGGCTGGGAAGCATTGGCAACGCTAATCAACCTTAATTATGAAGTTCAAAACAGACCATTTTTGAATATTAGTCTGTGGATAATTATATACCGAATTGGACACTTATTCTTTTTCCGGCCTAGACTTTACTACTCTTCTGTTAGTAATAGGATGTGTATTTTTCTAGAAGAGCCCTTACTTCTCTGTTCCTGCATCTCTAACAACATTCGGGTCAGGGCTGCGCACCTGACTCCATCCTGGCCAATCATAGCATGGGCTCTTCATGGCCTCAGTGAGTGGTTCACGGTGGACACTTGACTCCAGCCTGGTCAATCATGCAGGACTCTTCTTGGCCTCATTGAGTGGTTCATTGGTCCGCTCAGGTAGACACCTGACTCCAGCCTGGCCAATCATAGCATGGACTCTTCATGACCTCAGTGATTGGTTCATGGTGGACATCTGACCCAGGCCTGGCCAATCAGAGGATGGATTCTCCATAATCTTGCTGATTGGTTCAGGGGTGGGCACCTGAGCCAGGACTGGACGCATGGATTCCCCAGGTCACAGCAATTGGTCCAGATTCCTGGAGGTGATCCAAGTCCAGCTGGTAAGACTCCATTTAGGGATGTTCCTTTGAATTGTTGTGACAAAAACTTGCTTCTTTTACTGCAGTTTCTGCAAGGATAGAGAATAAACCTGAACCTCCAGCATCTGTCTCTGGATCATGAGGTTGCCTGATAAAAGAGCCTGCATGAAGGAAAGCTGAATGAAGAGGTGGAAAGATTGAGGCAAAGTTCTGATGACATCATCTGAGTGCCTGGATCCAGCTGTGCCTGAAGGTAGGATTTTCAGTTACGTAAGACAATAGTTTCCATTTTCTTGCTTATGCCAGTTGGAATGGGAAGAGTTCTAATCCAATAATGCACAGAGGATATAGCTTACAAACCAGCCCATCTCGTTTTCCTTGTCCTCAGTGCAAGGCAACAAAAAGATGCCAGTGCACGTGTCACTGATAATTAAGTTAACATCGCATTATCTCTGACGGCATTCTGAATGGCACAGTGCTACAGAAGAGGACCATTTTACACAGCCACGCTCCTGACTGTTGTCCCATTGGCAGAAGGACTCACCAAGCTGCCAGTTTGTCTGGTGTTATAAATGTCAGACCCTTGGTACCACTGAGCTACTTTGTAAACCTTAAGAGCACAGCGGAGAGGACTGTCTGCTTACCTGTGCCCACATGCACAGTGTCTTAAAGACAGCAACAGGGTCCTTTATGTTTCTCAATCACTGATCTGCAGGTGAGTTATGCGATAGTTTATTTAGCACAAACACTAAGTCTGAGCAGCAAATAGCCCTTTTTACTCCGGATAAGCATGTGAAACATTGGATCTTCTGGCTGAAACACCAAATCGTATATTTCTCACCCTGCACTCAGCCACTCCAGTGACAGCTACAGAGCAGGCCCGGATCTGAACAGGCTGAGGTATGTGACACAGGACAGCAAAGTGGGAAGTCTGCAGTAGTGGCGCTCAGGCCTGGGCAACTGGCGCGGTGTGTGGTCCAGGGAGCTCTCCAATTACACAGCCTCCTCTCCCCCAGATTCTGACAAGTCCCCAGGGGGCAAATGCTTTGTAAAGCTTCCCGGGGATTCCCTGGCGACCCCCACTCTAGGCTGAGAATCAAAGCTCTGAATTGCCCTTGCTGTTGATAAGCCTCATACGCTAGTGCTCCAGGCCCTGGTCAGATGAGGCATGGGACTTAATCTACAAACACCTTATCTTCAAAGGGAAAATATTTTCATGATTGCCTAAGTAGTAACATGGCCATTACAGAAGATTGTAAGATACCAAAAGCTATACTGTAAAGAAGAAAAGAATCTACCCATACCTTGCTAGTCTCAGCGTCATCGCCACCTGGGCACTTGTTAGGAGTGCTCCTCCCCCCCCACACCCCCGCCAGACCTCGGAATCCGAATCTGCCTTTTTCCCAGACCCCCAGAGGGTTGTGTACCTGTTCAAGTTTGAGAAGCCCCGAGCTAGTAATTCTACAACTGCATTTGAGTGTCTTGTAGCATCTTATACTTTTATTAAAGTTGGGATTAATATTGGATAATCAATGCTGCAATCGGCATCATTAAAAATGTGATAGTAACTGTACTTTAGTATGACTCAAATACTCAGTTTGGTGTGCTGCTTCTCTCCCTGAATAGTATACAGTATCCACCATCACATCGTTTGCTTCTGAGACTTTCTTAAAACCCAGTTTCTCCCTTCATCCTCAGCTGGAGAATAAACCAGCAGGCGGCACACAACGGGTTAATGTCTACCGATCGAGTTAATACCCGTCTAAAGACCCAGCGGCCGCCCCAGCAGAGCCGAGATTTTGCAATGTTTGCCATGCGTTTGCTTCATGTTGAGAGATGGGCTGAATGGAGGTTTCTTTGTGTTTGCGCGTATTTGTGTGTGTGAGTGTGTGTGTTCCCCGCAGTCTCCGTGGGTGGCCTCCTGCGGGTGAATGCGCAGTGTTCCTTCCCACTGTGGCTTATCCTGCAGGGTTTCCAAACCTCCCTCCGCCGACAGACAGCCGGGGAAGCACGTCTCTGCCATGAGAAACCCAAGGAAGCTGCAGCAGAGATTTCTTGGTCTGTCCCTGTTCGGGGAAGGCGAGGAAGCCCTCGTCCGCCAAGGTCTCTCTTACAAGCCCTGTTTCCTTTTACACACGTAGTTTTGGAAGGTGCCCAAAAGACTGTCCAGTGTCCCAGCCTTCTCCGACAGCGCCGGGAAACAAGAGGTGGCTGCTCTTGCAAGTGGGGAGGAAGGCCTGAGCCGAGCTGGGCGTTCAGGGCCAGGAAGGCAGGAGGGGAGTGGCTGGGAGGAGGGGGCGCTTCGCAGGGCCCGTGGGCCTGAGCTGGACACTAGGCCACAGGACGGGGAGGCGACAGTGGAATTAGTGTCTGCCAGTCCCCAGGGTCTGTCATCTCTCTTGGCTTTCCCCTGCAAGAAGATCTCTCGCTCACTACACACACACACTCACACACACACACACACAGACACAGACACACACACACAGTCTCACACACACACACAGTCACACACACACAGACACACGCAGACACACACTCTCTCTCACATTCACACTCACACAGACACTCTCACACAGACACACACAGACACACTCACACACACTCACACACACTCACACACAGACACACACGCAGACACACACAGACACACACACTCACACACACAGTCACACAGACACACACACAGACACACACAGACACACACAGACACAGACACACACAGACACACACAGACACACACAGTCACACACACACACACACAGTCACACACACAGACAGACACACACAGACACACACACAGACACACACATGCAGACACACACAGACACACACACTCACACACACAGTCACACAGACACACAGACACACACACAGACACACGCAGACACACACACGCAGACACACACACTCACACAGACACACACAGACACACAGACACACAGAGACACACAGTCACACACAGACACACTCACACACACTCTCACACACAGACACACAGACACACACACTCTCACACAGATACACACACACACTCTCACACACTCACACAGACACACAGACACACACAGACACACACACTCACACACAGACACACACACAGACACACACGCAGACACACACAGACACACACACACACACAGTCACACAGACACACACACAGACACACGCAGACACACACAGACACACAGACACACAGACACACAGAGACACACAGACACACACAGACACACAGACACACAGAGACACACAGACACACACAGACACACTCACACACACTCTCACACACAGACACACAGACACACACACTCTCACACAGATACACACACACTCTCACACACTCACACAGACACACAGACACACACAGACACACACACTCACACACAGACACACACGCACAGACACACACACACAGACACACACACATACACTCACACACACACAGATACACACACAGACACACACACTCTCACACACACTCACACACACAGACACACACACAGACACACTCACACACACACAGACACACACACACACCATGCGCCCCCCCAACCACTCGCACAAACGTAGGTTCCTGGAACTGTTTCCCCCAGTTCTCTCCCTCACACATCTTCACCCCATGTCCTGCCCTGATCTGGTGTTCTGGGCATGGCTCCTTTTACTGCTTTTTAAAAGGAGTCTGTGGTTTTATGAGGGCTGTTTGGCCGGCAGAGGTTGGGCTAGGCCGGGTTTTCGATGCCTGTGGCCCCGTCAGCCCAGGGAACAGGCCACCGAAGCTGAGCAGCTGCTCCTGAAAACAGCCCGGGACAGCTCTTCCCAGCCTCCGCCGCTGCACTGAGCACTGCACTCTCTCTCCCCTCCGCTGCTAGCTCTGATGGCAGCCCCAGGCCTCTCAGTAATCCTCAGCAACTCAAGCCTTAGCCGGAGTCCTCGGCGGGTGGGCGGCTGTAAAATCTTTTTGTTTGCTGCCTTGTCATCCTCTTCTCATCCCCAACCCCTATGGTCTGGGAAATAAACACCCAGTACAAAACCTCCCTGTTGGTATCTGGTAAATTTTCAACTAAAAAGTTCAGCATTCAGGTGAGTGGGCTCAAGATCCAGCTGGTTTGAAGAGAGGCATAAAGGACAAGGTGTTGGGCGTGGGACTGGCACCCGCTGAAACCCGCATCCTGTGGGTGCCCGGTGTGGGTCGCCGCTGGCGTCACAACGCACAGCCCACCTGCTCTGCCAGCTTCCGCGACCTTGATCTCAGCCAATCCTGTTTTGGGCCCCATCACAGTCTTTCTGTCTGTGGAGCTGGGCAAGCAGGAGATTTCTCAGGGCCCAGGATGGTTTTTCAGATGTGGATATTGGCCAACTCCCGAAGTTGCTAGAAAAATGTAGGCAGCTTGGCCACCTAAGTAAAAGCCATCCATGGCATTTTTCCCAGCCTCAGCTGAATTCAAACCACTGAACTCTTGTGGTTTATTTTTTTTACAGCTTTCGTAGCTAACAGGACTGGATGCCTTTAAAAAACTTTTCAAAATAATATTTTGAAACCTACCATTATTTGGTTTTCCCTCTGTAAAGGCTAATCTGTCATCATTTCCCCATAGCTTGCTTTGTGGAAGGGAGTGGGTGAGGGACAAAGGAAAGGTAACATGCTGACCAAGACAAGCCCGGCGTGAAGGAAGGTAAGTCCCGCGTTCCAGGCCCTGTGCGGCCTCTGCCCAGCACAGTCACGAGCTTTGTGGGCCTCAGTGCCCTCCTCTGGAGAATGGGAAGAGTAGTACGACAGGCCTAACGACAAGACAGTTCTGTGCTTAGGCTGATGTTCGTCAGAGCATGTATTCACTGTAAAGTGCTACATAATAGGAATTGTTGTGCTTTAACGAATAATCTGAAAGTAGTATAAAGTGTTTCTAGACTTGCGGATATCAAGAAACCTGGGTATCTGGGTTATTCATTCTCGGTCGGCAAAAGGTGGTCCCTGCATGATCAGCCCTGCAGGCCCCATGTGTTCTTTCAAGGCCTCAGGCTTTTGGAAAGCTTCTCAGTGCAGCAAGCGTGAATAGCAAGGGCTACTCCGTGCTCTTTACTTATCGGTTTTTGCCTTAAACCATGACAGTTGCCACAAGGGTTAGGGATGCGGGTAGCGTTGCAGACAGACTGACAGAGCTTTGAGTTCTATCTTGGCCAATTAGCTTAGCTTCTCTGAGCCCAGTTTCCTCATCTGTAAAACAGGTATAACAACAACAACAACAATAGTAATAATCTGCTGATATGATTCTTGTGAGATTAAAAGACAATGTTCACACATTGCTTACCAATATGATATCTTGCACGTTGATTAAATGAATGTAAGATAATGGTGTTGATAATTATTTTAAGGAATTTGAGAGAGAAAATTCCCACCTATGAGTTCCTTTGCACCTAGTGGTGGGACTTTCTCTTGGTCATGCATTCATCTGACAAGCGTTTACTGAATACCTTCTACGAGCTCCTGGGAGATCAGAATATGCCATCCCCAAATACGAAGGATTGTTCAGCTGAAAATGATTAAGAAGCAGATGCAGGAACCCCTCAGTCTTCCCTCTATTTGTCTAAAAGCGGGACATAGATTTACAGAGACAAAGAGTATTCCTGCCCAGGAGAACAAAGGTCGACCACTGAAGGCTGCTTTAGACTCTCATCGGCCTAGAGGTGATACAGAGGTCTCTACTTAACCGGCTGTCGAGCCAGCCTTTATCCACCATGGATTTGCCTTCCCGCAGGTTGCCCGCAGAGACTTACAGTCCTTTTCCTTTGTTTTGTCCCTTCTCTAAAAATGTACTATTCTTTGTTGAAGATCTTACGTAAGCTGGGGGTCAAGGCCACTTCTTGGAGAATGATTCAGGACAGTTCTCTGGGTATCTCCCATGTATATATAAAATACACATATTAATCAACTTCTGTTTGTTTTTCTCTTGTTTATGTGTCCTTTGTAACAGGGGTTGATTACAACTAAGAACCTACCAGGAGTTACTCTTCCCCTACAAGATCCAGAATGCCTTTTGGTTTCCTCTAATGAAGCAGCAGCCTGACCAAGTCCTACCCACTGCTCTAGTACCGAGAACTCCAGCTGCAGCGCACAAAAGGAAAGTGAACACAGGGAAAGCTGGGACTTCGTTGTGGGTCACAGAGGAGTGGTTCCACGGGGTGCCAGGGGTGTGGGCGCAGAGTCTTGGCCTTTGGAGCAGGTAGCCTGCATGGCGAAAAGTGATGGGAATAGTGCTGCATTCAGATACAGGATGGACCGCAATAACAAAGAGACTCAATGCGGTGGCTGAGAGGCAAGTTCATTTCTCTTACTCAAGGATGGAGCAGGTGATCCAGAGCTACAGCAGTGGCTCGATGGGGCAGGGAGCCAGGCTCTCCGCCTTGTTACTCCACCTTCTCCTAGGGGATTCCTTTGGTCCAGGTGGTTCCTTCACATGAGTGATGGCTTCATAGTCCAGCAGGTACGAAGGAGAAAAGAGTGAGGGAAGGCGCAACCGCTCTTTTGAAGGCCATGGCCTGGAACTTACCCAGCTTCCTACCTTAACTGAGTGACATGAGCACAACTAGCAAAGGAGGCTGGGAAATGTAGTCTTAATGCTACGTTGTCCTATGACCAGCAAAAATGTGGGGATTTCATTATTAAAGGCAGAAAGAGAGCATGTTAGGGGGACAAGAAGGCAATCAAAGGGGTAGATTAGGAGGGATGGGAACATCGTCGTCCACCCAGCAAGGAAGACAGTGTTGGGCACATAAAGGAGAGTGGGAAATGTCAAGGCAGAAATGACAGCTGATGATGATGGGGGGAACGAAGCCACTGACCACTGAGGACCCTGTGATCTGGATAGTAAAGAGGGTATTGTGATAGGAGGCCAGCAAAGACAGGGACCTGGGGTTCACTGGGGCGTTGTGCAGGGCACTGCGGCATGGTGGGCACACTGACTGTGGGATTGTAGAAGAAAGTACAGTTTGGGGACTGGCGCGTCAGCACCTCAGTGTCTTTTCTGGGAAAATCTGGTTCTGTCTGGAATTTTTCTCTGCTATGTGAATTCCTTGCTCATTCACTATGGGGTCACTTCATTGATTTTCTACTCTTTTTTCTATTTTCTTATATGAGCTCTTCTCATTAATCTCTACTGCCAATTGTTTCAATGTAACAGTATTACCAAGAAGTACCATTGGACTACGGACTTTCTGAGGTGTTTTAGATGTGACCTTGACTTGGTTAAAAAGGATGGATGCAATCACCTTCCAAAAGCTCCAAATTTGTCACCCTAAAACCTCCAATTGGGTGGTTGAAAACTGCAATATAAAGTCAGACAGATTTAAACTGGCATGAAACAATGTAGAGAAGGCTTATCAGTACACTTAAAAAACACTTTTATAGTTTTCATCTCCATCCTCAATTTGATAGCTCCAAGCTACAAATGATTCTTATAAACATCTGCTTCTTGTGTTTATTATGGTTTTGGATCTTTGTGCCAAGAATATGCATGACAGGGCTGCCATTCTTTTCGACCAAATGTATCTGAACTTGTGTTTCTGCATTCTCATCTGTTTCTCTGTAGAGAAAACATGCATTGAACCAATAGCATGTCTGGAGCAGTATCTTGTGATTTCAACAGCTTCCCTCTGTGATCCACCAAACAGGTATTCATGGTGGGCACTCTGTGCTCTCAGCCTGAATCTAACTCTGCCAAGCCGTGGTTCTCCAGCTCAGGTATGGATGGTATTAACCGGGGGTCTTCCGGGTTGTTGGAGCCTCCACAGCCTGGAGGAAGTGCAGCGTGTCAAGTGTGCCTATGCAAACCCAGCTTTAATCTGCTAAGAAGTGACAGAGCGTATTGGATGACGGGAAAACCTGCCATATTGTTCCTCAAGCACTGAATCATCAAGAAATGCTCAGTAGCAATGAATACGAAGTAAGTTACCTAGGTTCTGGCTCAGTCTTGTCACTCAAAACGCTTTGGTAGGTCATTACAGCTCCATATGCGTGTGGCTGAGAATAAAGAGTCTGAATGTGATGCACATGTAAACACACAATTACGGTATTCTGTGTGAGTTCTAGATTGGAGGTTGTAGGGCTACAAACAAACTAGAGCACCTAAGCTGGGATTTGATGCAGCAGAGCAACGCCTCCCACATTCTGGCATTTCAGGGTGCCCTCCGCTCACTCTATAGTGAAGCTGTCAGCCAAAGGATGTATGTGCCAGCAACACTGACAGTGTAAACGTAAAAACTATAGAGACTGAGATGACAGAAGACAGAGGAGTAGAAGTAGAAATAATTGAAGGTATGTGACCTGATGACCCTGTCTTACAAAGCAGGGACACAAGAGGTTTCATCTTTAGTTGATGGAAAGAGAAATAATGGAGTAAATAAAACTACATTGACCAACAGGAACAATAGAGAGACTGAAATGGTGACGAACCTTTATTGGCGGGAAGAATTAAGGAGAAGTAGTGGAGAGGCTCAAGGGAGCTGAAGTCAATAGACAGTGCCTAAAAATAGAAACATATTGTTTAGAGATGTGGAAATAGCCACTTAAAAGGGTTTGCCTCGGGAGTGGTGCTGGGGAGGCATTAGGATTTGTTCGTCGTTTTTCTTTATAAGCTCTTCGTACTGATGGAGATTTTTAAGTCTCGTTGCATTGGTTAGAATTAAGTTTAGTAGCAAGTGACAGAATGCCACAAATAACAGCTTAAATAAGAAAGATGGCTATTGTCTTCTCATGTAAATTTAGTTCAGGGGTAAGCAGCTCAGGACTGTTGTGGTGGTCCTGTTGTACACAGCCTTCAGGGTCCAGGCTTCCCCCAGTTCAGGGCTCCACAATGCGATCCCTAGGCTGCCATCTTCATCCTCATGGTCCAAGATGGCCACATCCGTGTTCCAGGTAGCAGAATGGAGGAAGAGAGGAAAAAGAGGGCAAATGGGGCACTGGCCCTGGCATGCTGCCCCTTAGACAAGGGTCCGAGAAGCTGTCTCATGATACTTCCTCTTATATTTAATTGGCCAGAACGTAGTCACATGGCTACACCTGCTGTGTGAGCTGCATATGAGCTGGGAAATGTAGTCTTTATACTAAATTTCTATGTCCATATTTTAAAACTCAATTACTATGGATAAAGGGGAGGATATATGTTGTTGGAGAGCTAGCCACCCCTGCTACACTCACCTTGATATAAATAACAAAAATCACGAGCATTAACAATAAAACTGTGTTTTCATAAGATAATGCTGGAAAAGAAAATATCAAAAACTGGAAAGGATTGAGAGAAGGAGAGAAGAATGGGTCGAGGAATGGATACATGAGAAGCAGGCATGCCGGAATGATCATTGGGAAATCTAGGTAGTTGGTATGTTCAGTGTAAAATGTTCAACTTCTCTGTATACTTGAAAACATTAATAATGATGGGAGAAAATAGGTTTAGGGAGAAAAAGAGCGATTATTTTTTAAACTATTTTTGAAATTCACAGCGGGTCTGTCCTGAGGACTTGGTTTTGTCCATCGCTCTTCTCTCCTCAGCTTTCCTTCAGGACTCCTTTGGTTCTTCATATCCTGACTTGCTTCTCCCAACCCAGTGCCCCGACTCCCTGCGTTTCTCTGCCCCTTTATGTTCTGGCTTCTGTCTAGGTCTCAATACACGGCTTCTGGTGCCTCGGGCTGGAGCCCCCCTGGGTTGCCCCCAATCTGAATATGAGTCAGAAAGAGTCCTGGCCCTGGTGGCCCAGCTCACTGGCATGACCGCCTGGGCAGGCTCCCCTCCCCCTTCCCTAGCTGGAATAATTAAACGCAGTATTTTGTTCAACAACTTTGAAGACAATTTCCTTCCTTCCTCCCTCCATTTCCTCCTTTGTTTTTTGACAAAGTATAGCAGTTATATCATAGCTTATAGAATGATGAAGGGAGACAGGGCTAGTTCTAAGATACATGCACTTTATAAAACCATCAGCATAATTAAATCTCAATGCAGGTCATGGTGAGGTTTTGGCCAACCATTCACTGAGTCAGTGAGTATTCAGTGCTTCCTATGAACCAGACACCATAATGGCTGTGGGCATTGATTCATCCTGGACACCAGTCATTTGGGAAGCAGCTTAGTTTCCCAGTGAAAGCTGTAACAGGGCCTGCTGATACACGATCTTTGGGGTGGCACTACAGCTGACCTTGCCTGATTAGAAGTCCTTTCGGGAATTTGGTAACTAAGCACCTTGGACGGGGGACGGGGGCCTGTGCTAGAATGCATCCGCCTCTGCAGGGTTTGTGCTGAGAGCCGTATGCCATTGCTGGACTCAGACCACCTGCCCCTACTCATCACACAATCGCCTCATGATTCGACCTCGCAGGTGTGTTTCATGCTTGGCAAAATCTGAAGTGAGCAAACTGTGCAGGCTCTGTCTCTCTCTGTACCTTTCCAGTTCGATGCAATCCAGTTCCTTGCCTAAATAGTTCATCCATTTATTCCACGTCAACAATCACCACTTACTTTCTTGATACTCTAGTTTATATGACTTTGGATAAACTTGTCATTGCCCAGATGAGTCTTTCATTATGTTGAGACATGCCATGCTATCCTTTCCTTTTTATTTTGCCTTGGAAAAAATTTAGTGTGTGGCCTTTGTGTAGTGTTTTCTGCCTAGTATTTCCAAACTGCCATTTCTGTAGAATTCAGCAAAAAGAGGAGAGGAGAAAAAATAAGGAGCGAAAGGGCAAAACAAAGCCAACTGTTTGGCTGAAAAACAAAAAAGCCTGCAGTCTCCTTAGCTAGCATTTCCTGTCAGGAACAACACGTGTGGAATTATTCACATTGTCTTCACTTTCTAGGTAATAGCAGTAAAGCTTGTCAATAATGATGGGAAGGTTGCTGAACGCATCTGCCCCAGCCATCTGGCCTAAGTGACACTACTGGCCTCTTTATGCCCTTGAAAATACGTTATTTATTTATTTATTTATTTATTTATTTATTTATTTATTTATTCTTGAGACAGAGTTTTGGTCTTATTGCCCAGGCTGGAGTGCAATGGCGTGATCTCGGCTCACTGCAACCTCTGCCTGCCGGGTTCAAGCAATTCTCCTGCCTCAGCCTCCCGAGTAGGTGGGATTACAGGCATGCACCACTACACCCGGCTAATTTTGTATTTTTAGTAGAGACTAAATGTTGGTCAGGCTGGTCTTGAGAAAATATGTTATTATCAGATGCACCTGGTGTGAATCAAGATAGATCAATTGCTTTGCTATTTCTTTGCAATGTCTTTGTAGTAGAAGAGGACTGAGTTAATAATAGAATAATAATCAATTCAGGTTGTCTTCCTAGGGCTTCCCTCAGGACTCATCAGTTTGGGAGCTGATGGGCTAACCCTCCTCGCCCGTTCCTCCTGAGCAGGGGACATGAGTAACACACCTTGATGGGCTAACCCCCTCCGCGCGGTTCCTGCAGCAGGGGACACATAAACACAGCTGATGGCTAACCCTCCCCCGTTCCCTCGCTGAAGAACACGACTAAGTACACACACTGATGGTGCTAACCCCTCCCCGCTCCCCACCTGAGTAATACCACTGCGTATACACACTGATGGTTAACCCCTTCTCTCGCTTGTTCCTCCTGAGTAACACTAAGGTAACACCTACTGATGGGCCTAACCCCCTCCCGTTCCCTGAGTAAGGGACAGGCTGAGAACACACTGGATGGGCTAACCCCTCCCCGTTCCCTGAGTAAGGGACACTTGAGTAACCACTGATGGGCTAACTCCCTCCCGTTCCTCGCTGAGTTAACACACTCGATGTGACACACTGAATGGGCTAACCCCTCACCCGTTCCTCCTGAGTAACCACCAAGTAACACTACTGATGGGCTAACCCGT